CTTGGTTGCACAAAGGTGAGTCTAAACATAAATCATTACAAGAAGTAGAGGCATCCTTTTTAGACATGTTAAACATAGAACTTTTCTTTTTAGATGCCTTGGTGGGAGTTGTATTAACGGCTTCAAGATTAGCAACTTTATTAGTTAGCTCATCACAATGTTTGCACATGGTTTCCATTTTTGCAAGCAAACTTTTATAAGCATCTTGTGAGCTAGCTAACTTTTCTTTTAATTTTTCATTTTTCTTTACAAGTTGCTCATCATTGATTGTGCATGCATTTGTTGTTGCACTAGCCTTAAGTTGCTCAATTTTAGTAGATAGTTCAACATTGAGATTAGCAAAGTTCTCATATTGTTCAAGCAAAGTTTTATAAGCTTCTTATGAACTATCTAGCTTTTCTTTTCAATTTTTGAGCTTCTTTTGTTGACTAGTGCAAATTTTAGCATAATTAAGATTTTGTTGCACAATTTCATCATAAGAAGGCATATCATCATTACTATCACTCTCACTAGAGGATAAGCTTTTATTACCTCGTGCCATAAGGCACACACGAGAAGAGCTTGATGATAAGTGCTTGCGACCTCACCTCTTGTGATGGTGTTCTTCTTCACTTGAAGAATCATCCCATGATCTTATTGATGTGAGGGCTTGGTTCTTGCACGCCTTCTTCTTTGTCTTTGGTGTGGGCTTGTTTGGACAAACTTCCACAAAGTGCCCCTAACTCGCCGCATCTATAGCATGCTCTCTTTCTTTGCTCATTTCTTTGATTGGTAAAAATGAGATCTTGAATTTGGATGGATACACCCTTTACATTGAGCCTTTGGATCATCTTCTCCACCTTGTTGATTAATTTGATTGATTCTTCATCAAGGTTGGAGGTGGAGGAGGAAGATTGATCATCATCACTTGAATCTTCATCATCATCATCATCGTCCTCATCTTCTTCTTCATCTTCACTTGAGGAGCTTGAGCTTGAGCTTGTCTCAACTTGCTTGCCATTCATCTTCTTTTTCTCGTTACATGCGAGCGCTTTGCCTTTGCTTGATGAAGAAGCTTCTTCTTGACCCATCTTACGTGACATTTCAAATGCCACTATCTTGCCAATGACTATGCCCGAGGTCATAGTGCTCAAGTCCTCCATATTGTGAAGGATGGTTATGATGCTTACATATTTCTTTTGTGGTAGTACGGAGATGATCTTCCTCACGATGTCCGCATCATCTAGCTTTATTAATCCTATTGAATGGAGCTCATTGATATTTAGATTCAAACGAGAATACATATCACGAACAAGCTCATCATCATTCATTGTAAGGGAATCATAATTTTGTTTAGCTAGACAATATTTTTGCTCACGGACATTACTTGTGCCGTCATGGAGCTCTTGGAGTTTTAACCAAATTTCATGTGCCGTATTTAAAGTGAACACTTGGTTAAACACATCCATGCTAAATGATTCAAACAAGCAATTTTTAGCTCTAGCATTAAAATGCATTTCTTTTTTATCACTCTTTGTGGGTTTTTTGGTATTCTTGGTGGGTTTCATCTCGTCACGAGTGACTTTCCATACACCCAAATCAACCGCCTCAAGGTGACAAGCCATTCTAGCTTTATAATAGGGGAAGTTAGTGCCATCAAAGTGCGGAGGCCTAGAGGTATCCATCCCAACCACTCTAAAAAGCGTCGGCTCAATGGCGGTTAAGCCAAAGGTCCAAATTGAGCCAACCGGCTCTGATACCAATTGAAGGGGACCGTGATGCCTAAGAGGGGGGGGTGAATTAGGCGACTTAAAATTCTAACTCTAAACTATGGCCTCTTTTTTTAACCTTAGCAAAACCTATGCAAAAGATAAACTATCTAAATGTGCAACTACGGTTTTGCTAGTGTGTTGCTATCTCTACCGCAACAAGGAGTAATACAATCAATGTAAATACGGAAGCTAAAGAGTAAGGTAGAGATATGCAAACTCCCATCGATGACTCCGGTATTTTTACCGAGCTATCGAAAAGCGCGCAAGCTTCTCCCTAGTCCTCGTTGGAGCCCCTCACAAGGAATCCCTCGCAAGGGCCAAGCTCCCGGTCGGGTAACTCCGTGGATAGCCTCGGGCCTTCCCCACGCACAAGTGGGTCTCCGACGTGCCTTCCGGCAAGCCTCTCCCGGATGCTCCCCGCCGTCTTCACTATCAAGCTTCCGGCCGAAACGCTGCGGGCCTTGTTCCCTCCAGTACACGGTGGCGGCCACACCACAAACAAGGTTGGTGTGATCTCGCAAGACTTCAAGCCTCTCCGATGTACAACAATGGTGCTCGCAAGCACTGGGTAGCAAGAGGTATGCAAACCTCACTAAACACTAGGCCTAAACCTAGAGCAAGCGCATAAGCGGTGGTCTAATCAACCTAAGCACTTCGCAAAGCACTTACGCTAATCACCTAATGAAACACTAAGCACTATGCAAGTGGAGATCACTAAAATGGTGTATCAACACCCTTGATATGTTTCCTCAGCTCCCCACACCTTATTTGGCCGGTTGGGGGTTGTATTTATAAGCCCCACTGAGAAAGTAGCCATTGGAGACGAAGTCTTGCTTTTCTGCTACTGACCGGATGCTGAAGTCGTCCTGATCGGACGCGTCCGGTCGTCCCGACCGTTGGAGCCGTGATCAACTAATCGGACGCTGCCAGCGTCCGGTCACCTGCCACCAGACGCATCCGGTCGTATTTTCGCCGCTCTGGAACCTCTCTGTACTCGACCGGACTCTATTGTCTTGCGTCCAGTCAATCTGCTGCCTGCGTCCGGTCCAGCGTCCGGTCACTGCTGTTGCCGAGCCTCTTGATCGGACGTCCGGTCACTGTGCTACCAGCGTCCGGTCACTTCTGTGAGCTCGTTTCTTCGTGATCTTGCGTACGGCTTGGTTCCTATCTTCGTGCTTGGACTTTGCTTGATATCTTGGGTCTTCTCTTGTGCTCCTAGGGTCTTGCTTATGGTGTTGATCATCGGATCATCACATCGCCTTCGTCCAAGTCACGTCTTGCATCTTATTGGACTACAAACAATCACTTACAAATTCATTAGTCCAATTTGGTTGTGTTGGTCATCAAACACCAAAATCCAAAGTAAATGGGCCAAGGGTCCATTTTCCTTACAACAGGAATATGAACAATCAAGGTTATAGAGTAGAGTCACAAACTAAGCTTTATTCAGGGAGACAGGGATATGAACAATGAAGGCTATAGTGTATGGGAGATCCTTTTCAAGAGATTGTTTGTACAGAAAAATATATGAACCTAGGTGCACATAAAAAGATGCTCTGGTTGCCAACTTCGCGTGAAAGCACTAGACTGCACATAAGACAGCAATTTCTACACAACAACACAACTAGAGACCAACACAAAAACGTCCTAGGCATAATGCAAGCAGGGCAAACATACGTGGTAACTTTCAAGACAATTAATAGCATGGCAATGCAATCATCTCTAAAAGGATATAGTGCTGAAATATGAATGGTAAGTAGTAGCCCTGATTAACAGAGGCATAATGGATTAACTAAGGGATATGTGGATAACCTAATCAAGCTAACCAGAAGTTTCAACAATTGTTGAAACATACCTATTGGTACTATGATAAATGTTTTTCACCTTCCCATAAGGCATGAATGCATGATGCTATTTACTTTGGCGCACGCTAAGCAGAAAAGCATAAAATCTAACCTATGCATTGAAAGCTCAATTTCAATCCCATGTAATCTGATCGCTAATAACATTTTTGCACAACAATAGCACTAATTTTTTGTACGTTGAAGTAGCACTACCACGACAGGTCAACCAATATTTGTAGAGTTTGCAAAGGGCATGTGCAAAAAAATGCAGATAGCAGACTCAGGAAAGAACAATGTGTACTAATCAAATAGGAATTACAGGGTCTTTATTAAAGAGGGCGAGTTCTTTGTTCCGCTCCGGATTGGTGCTCTTTTTATAACCCATGGTTTCCACTCCTGTGGTATTAAGAAATAATTACAATCAGCAGCAGCATGAATCTGTGAAAAAGAAGGCAACTAAATAGTGTAACTTTAAACAGAGAAAATTAATTCAAACATTTGTCGTATTAGTCGCTGTCCTTGCATAGCGCTAACTGCATGGTAACACTTTTAAAAGTGTGGAGCACATGATAACAATAGGGGATGGGATAATACGAGAATGGGATAATACAAGGCACTTCCTTTCAATGCAACAAAATTTAACCATTGAATTAATAGGAAGCATACGTATGCATATTTTCTAAATCCTGAAACAGGTATATAAAGTTAAGAAATAAATAAAAGCCAGCATAGAGGATGCACCTCTATAGGTATATTCATGCATGACAGAAGCAACCTGCCTTGCAACTGCCATTGTAGTCTGCATACTTCTTACTCCATCAAAAGAAGACTCGCATGTGGGTCGTGTGGTGTCCAGGAAGAACTTTCCCACTTACTTTAAGCAGCACATGTTGACATCTATAAGGTTTTTCGATCCAGAGGAGCCTTCATCGAGTGTAAAGCTAAAGGGCGACATCAGTGATGTTTGATTCGTAACAAGGAAAGATGCATGGGATGCATTATAAAACGTAGCCCCAAATTACTTCAAGCAACACAAATTATACTTGAAGCAGCCAGATTACCACCCTTTTTCACTTGTAGTACCTCTCATGATAGAAAAAGGAGGTCACAAAATTTCAGGAAAATAACACTATGATAGGGAAAGAAAGCAACACGAATGATGTCACTTTCCCAATATGTGCAGACAACTGGTACGTGGTAGTAACATGTAGAATAATTCCTAGCTAGAGGGTTAGGTGATCTCCTCTCACCATTCTTGCAGTCACAAATCATGTTTCCATGAACCTAATTAGGTAAAAAATAGGAAACTAAATAAGCACCTTTACTAAATTGCGGCTAAAATTGGAATTAGGGAGCACATACTCAAGCAAAAGCAAACAAAGGCAGAGAATATAAGACATTCACGATGTATGAATCGACCAAGGTAGGAAGGCATTACATCAAACAACTTGAGGGGATGCACATTGTGACTAACCTTGGTAAGAGTCAGACATGGTCTTGGTACTGGGAGGTCAGTTGCTCTATATCTGAAATTTGCCGACAACTGCAACCCCTGTCTATGAATCAACAAAGGAAAGATGTAAAGAAAAAAAGAGAACTAATCAATGATGAAAGGTAGAAGCACAATCAAGGCGCGATGTTTATGTGAATAACCGTAAAAATGTGAATCCAGGGAATAATTTTACAGCCATAGATTAAGAGCTGTAACACAGAGAACAGAAAACTGAGAAAAGTAGAAGAGGCTGTAACACAGAGAATAGAAAACTGAGAAAAGTAGAAGCACAATCAAGGCTGCAGTATAGAGCAAAAAAAAAATACATTTTTCTATTTTCTTAGAGATAAATCTAATTTTTATATAAAAATAGATATTTTCACAAGTTCTCAGTACTATCTTTAGAATTTTCATATCCCAATCTATCTCTAGGAATTGTATTGAAAATTTTATAAGCTTAGAGATATTTTTTGTTATTCAAAACCTTATCACATATTATTTATAAAAAATATCTAAAAATAGGACAAAATTACCTTCAATACTACTTCAGACTAGGACAAGGAGGTATTTTAAAGGTTTTGAGAGCTAGATGATAAAGATGTTTGATTTCATAGTTTGAAAAAAAAATCAGTTTTTTCAGGATAGAGAAACAAATCAGATGATAGTTTGAGAGGTAAAAATTGATTTTTGCCTCACTGAGGTTTTTTTTAGCAAATTTTTTTCCTCACTGAGTGGGCTCACCTATTCGGCCTGGTCCATCAGAGGCCGTGGCCCAACTCACGAACGGCCCGTCAGCTCCGGTTCTTGCGGTGCGGGCCTTCCCTGTGAGTTGGGTCCCGCCCCATATGCTTCCTCTCCAAGTCCAGAGGGAGAGTGGTACGGCAGGGTCGCGGAGCTTGGCGGCTGCAATCGCGCGTGCTGCCGTCTCCGCCGCTTCCTCGCGCCGCCGTCGCCGCCGCCGCCAGCGGGCCAACCTCTGGCGCGCGGGTCCAACGCCGCCACCGCTCACGCACCGCCTTTCTCGAGGCTTTTCTCGTCGGCCTCGGTGGCCGCGGCCATCGCGCCCCACGACGCACGCGACTCAGGCCTCGGCGGTTCGGCGTACTGGGCTTGGATTCGCGCGGTGACCGAGTCGGCCCAAGCGCCCTCCCGCCCACAGGAGGAGGATGAGGGCCCGGCACGCTACATCCCCGTCAAGGCCTACTTCCTCTCCACCAGGTAAGCACGCAGCGCCGCTCCCGCGCTTGCTCGATAGGTGTTTGATGATTTATCAGCGAGGAAACATTGGTGCTACCGTGCTATTCTGAAGAGATGCCGATGCCCAATTGGCGCTGCGAACTAAAATGACGTGTTTTCAATTTTCCTCCTCGCCGTGGCAGCATTGATCTGAAGAGCATGCAAGCGGAGCACACGGAAATGATATCGTACCTCAGTCGACCCGTTCGCTTAATTACATTGCGCTTCGGTACTCCGAGTTCCCACATTAGTGATTAAAGTTTAGCATCACTTTGTTGGAACTTGGAATACCTGACATTCATTCAAAATTAACAAATCTCAGTCACGTTTGGACCAGCTGGACATGCTTTTGCAACATTGACCTGTGCTACAAATTGATTATCTTCTGATTTTGGTTGATATTTATGCAGAACATTGGAGTGAAGGACAACAGATTTTGCTATCGTTATGTGGTTGTTTTCCAGTATGGTTCTGCTGTGCTTTTCAACATTGCTGATCATGAAGCTGAGTACTATCTTGATATAATTAGGAAGCATGCTTCAGGATGGCTTCCAGAGATGAGAAAAGATGGTATGCCCAGTTTGCCCTCTGCTAAATTGTTTCTGTTTACTGCTTTTTACTTGGCTCCATTTTTGTGTTCCTTGATAATATTGCATGGCCAGAAAACAGTACAATTGCCTTCTGTTATATTCAAAGATGCTATTTGTTAACTGTGATAGAACTCAACTTAAAGAGAATCATCGCATGCCTAGGCCGTGTATTGTGTGCATTTTTGTTTAGCACAAATAAGTTGCCACTGCTTTTTGTCCACTGTGACTGAGCTTTGGCATATGCCCCTTGGAATTGCGCTGTTTGACTCTTTGTAAAGATGCAGGTATAGAGTAAAACCTACATCAACTGATGCCATCTGATTTGCATGAAGAGATTATGCAGTGGTCGAGAAACCATCCTTGACAACATGGATGAAAGGAGGTCTTGATTATATAGTTCTTAAAAGTTTAGACACAGACGGAATTCGCATAATTTCAAGTGTTCTTGGTCAAAGTATCGCTCTTGATCATTATATTAGGCAGGTACTAAAATTGTGCGAAGTTAATGAACTTGTGTGTTGTGGCCGTATCATTAAAGCTTTATCTAGAAGTTTTGAACTTCAAAAAATCCAATTTTAATAGGTTGATGATATGGTTGAGGCGTACCCAGTGCAGAGAGCTCCCGCTCTATGTGCGGGGTCTGGGGAAGGGTGTCAGTGACAAGCCTTACCCTCACATGTGCAATGCGAGGAGACCGTGACTCGAACCCGGGACCTTCCGGTCACAGGCGGTAAGACTCTACCGCTTGCACATCGCGTCTTGGAAAAAACTGGTAACTTCACCATGCAAAGAAAAAAACTCTTTCAACTTGTGGGCAAGGCTAATTCAAATCTTGCGGATGTTATCATCAGACTTGGCCTTTTTGACAGGTATGTCTACGACACTCAAGTACTATACTTCCTATTTAGGATGGTTCCATCTCTCATACAACATATGTGAAGTTAAATATTTTTTACGGATAAAAAAATGTGTGAATCCCATGTGGACGATTGTGAAGGTGTGTAATTCAAGTTATTAGACATTGCAGGTCTATAAGCCACTGTTATGCATACATTTGATATTCCTTTTGGAAAAGAAGGGTTCACTTGGGGTTTATGCTCTTTGTTTGAAATTTCTTCCGGTGCTTTGAATAATATTGATGATTTTGATCGTTGTACTAAGAAATTGGACATTACTATCTCACAGTACTCATTATTTTAAAAGGTATTGTGCTTGGTATCCGTGGATTATCATATTCTTGTTGGCTCTGTCGCATGCACCCCTTGTTTCTGCCTTGACTCACTTGTTGCTCTTATAGTGCAATTTCGATTCCGGATTCCTTTTTTTACATCCACCTTCTGTCATTTGACCATGATTTTTCTATAGGTCGGAAATTGCTTGGAAAAATGCAAATTATGCACAAATTCTAGAGTATCTTCGGGAGGAATATGAACTGAATCAACGTTTTGGAAGCCTTGACTTAAAACTGAAATTTGTGGAGGTAGTGCCTTGTGTATTCATTCTCCTATATAGTGCAAAGTTGGTTTCTTTATCTTTTTTGAGTTTCCATTTGTGCTTACAATTTATTATTGTAACAGCACAACATTCATTTTCTTCAAGAGGTCCTCCAAAATAGACGGTCGGATCTGCTGGAGTGGGGTGTCATAACACTGCTGATTATTGAGATTGCCATCTCATTATATGAAATTGTCAAGGACTCCATGATCTCTTAGAGCTCTCTTATTCAACAGATCAACAACACACTTATCTATCCTCGACTCACAACCCATCATCCCGTTATGCTAACTCCAGGTTTCCTGTTTAACAAAAAAAGGGAAAAGAAAAGAAAAGAAAGACCCCAGCTCCATCTTTCCTGACTCTCCATCTCCACCCTTTTGATTTCTAACCTTAGATGAAAGCAAGTTGGGAATGCTCCTACTTCCTGAGTACTCTGGTGTTCTGTCTTTTGACCATTTGTGGGGGTACAACCCTGGATACCCACGGCAGACTACATGGGTTGCGCTCCAGGGGTGGCCCAGCCCACAAGATGAAGCCTTGCGGAGCACAGCGCTGCTCGGCGCGCCCCGCAAGACACCGGGAAAATATCCTGAAGATACTACAAGACTGTTAGGATACGTATGATCCATGATTCCTGTAATCAGTTATTACTTTCCGGTTATCTCCTAGATCTAACCGACTTATAACCCTGCCCCCCAGATTATATAAGGCGGGCAGGGACCCCCTCAAAACACACGCAATATCATATGATAGCCAATACAATCCAACAGACTACAGGAGTAGGGGATTATGTCATGTTGACGGTCCGAACCTATCTAACTCTTGTGTCTCTGTTGCCTTCTTGTTCTCGATTACATGCATCTCTGTCGATCAATCTACCTTCGTGGGATATCCTTCGGAGGACTACCGATGATATTCTATCGACAGTTGGCGCGCCAGGTAGAGGTGTGCGTGATGTTTCCATGTCGAACAAGATGGTACATTTTGTAGGCTCTTCGTCCTTCCCACATCCCGGTCAGATCTTCATGGTCGGATCGATCTCCTGGGTCATCAGCGCTGACGGAGACAGAGAGCTCATCGAGCCGGTGCAGATCGATTCTGCACCGATCACCCCAACACCTGTGACTGCAGATCTGACCTTAGAACCGCCTTCGAGGACGTCTTCACCGACAATTCACCTCCCTCTCCCCCGCTACCCGAGGAGGCAGATCAACAACGACGATCTGATCGCGTCCATCGATCAGGTTAGCCAGAAGCTCGCCGATTGCCTCTCCATCGCATAATCGGCTCTGACCACTCTGGTCCAGCGCCGACCACCCTCTGAGTCAGATCTATCGGAGGTTGGTCAAGAAACTCCAGGGGTTATGGCCCTACATTTTGGGCTCACCAGCGTCGCCGCCACCTATCAAGGTGCCCTAAGGGGCAAATTCGCTGACCAGGTAGGAGATATCTATCCCCTCGCCGACCAGATCGTTGACCAGCTTTTGCCGACTGTCAACATGCTACACATCGGTCGACACCCCGAAGCATCCCTCCAAACCATCTCGGAGGAAAATCCAGACTCCGAGTCCCAAGGCTCTACGGAGACTGTCGCCGAAACCACCTGTCAGGGACCTAATACCGGGGTACCCAATGAGGTAGAAGTAATAACACTCAGACGTTGATGCTTCTGAATAGGCGGGAACACAGCTACACTCCTTGTCCATACAACCGAAGGTTGGCTCCGCCTCGCCCAACCCCGAGGGCTGGGCTCCGCCTCGCCCAACCCCGAGGGCTGGGCTCCACCTTACCCGACGACTGAGGGCTGGCTCCGCCTCGCTCGATGACTGAGGGCTGGCTCCGCCTCGCCCGACGACTAAGGGCTGGCTCCGCCTCGCCCGATGTCGCTCGACGACTGAGGGCTGGCTTCGCCTCGCCCGATGGCTGAGGGCTGGCTCCACCCCGCCCGATGTCCCGGGGCAGGCTCTGTCTCGCCCGATGTCCCGGGGCTGGCTCCGCCTCGCCCGACAACTGCACCCTGCTCCTTCATAATGACGGGCACAGGGTAAGACAGGACATTCAAGTCAACCGCAGTACTGAGGACCATGCCCTGCACGTCTGCAGGAAAGTACCGTCAGGATACGACAGGATGGGTGCTTTAAGCCCTTCCAGGCATGGTAGAGCCCGAACAGTGTTGTAGGCACCGACTTTTGTCTCACAGTGTTGTGGGCGTCGCCATCAGCCCTCGGACGTGGATCCTGACATAAGCATACGACGACCACTACAATCTAAGAGAGAACTCGCATCATCTATAGTTATGGACGTATAGTCACTTCTCCGTCTGCTCTCCGTAGGATCACAGCTCAGCACCCCGGTATGCCGCACCATCCGCCAGAGTGGGATGGGATGTAACCACTTGCTGAAACGAAGCCAGGGCACGGCCATGTCAGGATCAGCTAACGTGCTATCCCTGGCATGGTCCGCCATGTCAGCGGAAGCAGGCTCAAGGGAAAAGGAAGACCCGGCACCTTCGAAGAACCGTCTCTACCTTTGTTTTTTTCCTCTTTCTCCCATCTATAACCCCTGCTCCCCCTTGGTCTATAAAAGGGAGGGCAGGACACCCCGCTAAAGGGACGGATCGATTCCACACACAACATGTCACATAACACACAGCCAAGTAGCAACTGAGCTCTTGGCATCCTTTCGACCCTTCCATCAGAGACTTGTGACATGTTCCTCTCTCGACCGTTTGTACCCCCTACTACGAACCTTTTTCGGTGCTAATAACACAAGCAGCAACAAACTGGACGTAGGGACATTCTGTCTGAACTAGTATAAACCTTGTGTCCTTGAGCACACCATCCAGGCCTAACGTGCAACAAATATAAATTTACTAGTTGGTGTTTACTCGAAACACTGACAGTTGATGCGCCAGGTAGGGGACCTTTGCGCGTTCCACATCAGGCCACGGATGGCTATCCACGGCATTAGCTCGGTCCTAGGCGCACACGTGCATCTCGGGAGCCTAGACTTCATCATCACGGTGGGAGAAGAGTTGGCGTTGGCTCATGCGGCCATCCAATCTCTCCCCTCCATCGGCCTCAACCACGAGAGGCTTGGGCGCCAGCTCAGCGTCTCCCTCGGACCCCAGCAGTCCAAGGAGGACCAGTGTTGCCTCGCCCTTTCCGATGCCAACGACATGATGCGGTTTCCCGGAGGAGGTTCCCTCTCTCCGGAACGCCGTATACGGAGTGCCCCGATAGCGCTTCTGTTCGGTCTCCGCAACGCTGCGGCGACCGTTAGCCACCTTGTGGCACGACGCATGGTTTAGCCGCTCGCGAACAATGAGTTCATGGGGGTGATCGAACACGTCACAGAGTCTCTCCACAACCTCCTCACAGAGGAGTCGGGGTCGTCCTCTAGCTCTGACTCTAGCAGGGGGAGCCATCACCCCTCCTGGGACTGCTTCATGACGGGTACCCCCGAGGGGCACGTCGAAAGCATCTCTGTGGAGGAGGCCACCCCGGCAGGCAACCTCGGCGGCAAAATTGAAGGGGAGGCAGTGGCTCCACCTTGCATGGGGGTGGAGCAGCTGAGAGCCCGAAAGCGGGAGATCGATGAAGCCGGACTCCAGCTTGTGCGGGATTACGCAGAGATCGATAGGGAGATCGAACGCCGCGGAGATGGTGGGCGCACAAGCGCCACGACCCATGATGTAAACCGAAGGATCATCGCCAATGATGAAACCCTTCCTCGCTTCGCCCGGGCAACAGGTAGAGAGCTCGCTGTCTCGATGATGTGAGCTCAACGCCAGCCAGCGCACAACCTTAGTGCGCCCCGCTAGGGATGCGTCAGTCCACCAGGCACCACAAGGCAGCAGGCAGCGTGCCGCAGTCCCGGTGCATCAACGCCTCGGCCGCAACCGTGATGCATGTAGCATCCTCGACGCCCGTAGACGCACCTACAGTGACCCAAGAGAAGGAGCTCATCGTGGCTATCACCCTCGTCACGGTGGACGCTATGACAGCAGCGAGGACCGGAGCCCAAGCCCCGGCCAATGCCATCTAGAGTTGGGCGGATCTGAAGGAGATTTTTATGGGAAACTTCCAGGGCACATACAAGCGTCCTGGAAACCCATGGGACCTCAAGAACTACCGCTAGAAAGCCGGTGAAACCCTCCGTGGATACATCCGGTGCTTCTCCTGGTAGTGCAACGAGCTCCCTAATGTCGCCGACGCCGACGTGATAGGAGCCTTCCTGTTTGGGACTTCCTACGAGTCTTTGGTTCATAAGCTGGGACGCAAGGGCTTGCGAACCACCAAGGAACTCCTGGACATCGCCACCAGCCATGCCTCTGGAGAAGAGGCAGTCGGAGCGATCTTCGATCGTCTCGAGAGCAAGGCAAGGCGGGACGAGGGCGCTGGCAAAGGCACCTCCAACCGTTCTGCCAAAGGGAAGAACAAGAAGCAACGGTGTGAGGACTCACTTGTGGTTGTTGCTGACCACAAGAGTGGTCGGAAGCCTACGGAGGGCACTCTGAACCACTTTGAAAAATTACTCGAGGGGTCGTGCCTGAACCACGCCTTCCCGGTAAAGCATCTACTCAAGGACTGCAGCCTCATACGCAGTTCCTGTCTGGAGGCTCCAACAAGGGGGAGCAGGGAAAGGACCCTGCCCCCACCGTGGACGACGCCAAGGAGAAGGATGATGGCTTTTCGATGCTGAACGACTGCCTTATGATCTTCGGAGGATCAGCGGCCTACGACTCCAAATGTCGCCAGAAGGTCACGCGCCGTTAGGTCTATACGGCCGAATCGGTGACACCTCCGTTCCTCCGGTGGTCAGAGTCCCACACCTGGGAAGATAGCCGCTCGTGGTCGACCCGATCGTCGGTCCGAATCGGCTCACCAAAGTGCTGATGGATGGAGGCAGCGGCCTCAACATCATGTACGCCAAGACGCTCGACGAGATGGGCGTCGACCGAACGCACCTCCACCCAACCAAAGCGCCTTTCCATGGCATTGTGCCCAGGAAGCAGGCCATGCCACTCGGGCAGATTGATCTGCCCATTACCTTCGGGGATCAGTTCAATTATAGGACTGAAACCCTCACCTTCGAGGTGGTTGGGTTCCCCGAAACTTTCCACGCCATCCTAGGACATCCATGCTACGCGAAGTTCATGGTCGTCCCCAACTATACATACCTCAAGCTGAAGATGCTGGACCCCCATGGGGTC